TGACGACGCAGGCGATAATTGAATCGTTCAGGGATGTAGGAATGTGACGATCAATTGTTGTAGAAGCCATCACGTGTAGGCCACTACCCGTCAGTTATCCTAAGGGAAAGTTAGAATATCTGGAATAGGTCAAGTAGTTCAGGGACGTAGGAGTGTGATCATTGACCGAAGTAATAACACGTCACATGGTAAGTTATTACTTAGGCTGTGTTATTCGTTGGAATAACGGCGCCGGCCATCCGAGGTGATCATTAACCTGATGGTGTTTTGTTGCGATTGGAGCAACTATGGGGACCCATTATCCTTTTGAGGAGGATTGGTAAGTTAATTTTGTCAGAGGTTTGATGTTAACGTGACAGGGATTGTCGTGATTGGAACGACTTTGAGGACCTACCATCCTTTTGAAGAGGATTGGTAAGTTGATTTTGTCGAAAGTGATAGTGAGGGTCCCGACATCCTATTAAAGAGGATTGGTGGGGGATTGTGGCTCTGGTCCTAACTATCTGAAGGTTTGACCAAGTGGGCGCTTGATGCAGCCCACCTGAAATGCTAGTCCCACCTAGTCTGAGCGGTTCGCCTGTACTGGGAACCTGACTCGAGAAGTGGAGCTCGCCTAAACTGTTAAGCTCACCTGATCTGAGTGGTTCGCCTGTACTGGGAACCTGGCTCGAGAAATGGAGCTCGCCTAAACTGTTAAGCTCGCCTGATCTGAGCGGTTCGCCTGTACTGGGAACCTGGCTCGAGAAATGGAAGCGTAGGGAATAGTTTAACCTCTTATACCAGTTGGAGGATGTGAGGACCAGTTTAGACTCATGCACTCATGGGAGTTTGGGAAGAAGAACTAAGGGTAGTACTTCTTCAGATATTTGCCGTTGATGGGCATCATGATCTTATCACCATTTGACTTGATGAGGCGATAGGCTCCATTTGAGTAGACTGTCTCTACTACGAACGGTCCTTCCCACTTGGGCTGAAATTTACCCTTCTTCCTGGAGGTGAGAATCATTGGTCGGCGAACGGCCAGTACCAGTTCTCCTTCCTTGAAGGCTCGGCGTTTGACTTTCTTGTCGAAAGCCTTGGCCATTCGAGCTTGATAGAACTCAATGTGCTGTTGAGCTTCTAGTCGTTTGTCGTCCAACGCTTCGAGCTCCGCGAGTCTTCATTGGTGATTATCCTCAACCGTCATCCCCGTTGCTAGTGCGACGCAGAGGGATGGAATTTGAATCTCTAATGGCAATACGGCTTCACAGCCGTATACCAATGAGTAGGGCGTGTTGCCAGTCGGTGTGCGAACCGTTGTGCGATATGCCCATAAGCTTTCGCCTAGCTTTTCATTCCAATCGCGTTTGCTAGTGGAAGTTAGCTTGGTCAAAATCTTGATAATTGTTTTGTTGAAGGCCTCGGCCAAACCATTCGCCGAATGGTTATATGTCGTGGATGACAGGTTTTGTATTCGGAACTTGTCACAAAACCTGGTGAACGCATGGCTGACGAACTGCGTGCCGTTGTCATGAATAATACGCCGGGGTACGCTGTATCGGTATATAACATGGTGTTTGATGAATTTGATCACGTCATTAGTCTTGACCTCTCTTAAGGGGACGACTTCGGCCCACTTAGAGAAGTAGTCGGCGATCGCGAGGATGAAACGATGGCCTCTCGCCGATGGCGGGGATATTGGTCTAACTATGTCCATCCCTCATGCCTCGAAGGGCCATGACGCCTTCGTCGGGTGTAGGTCTTCAGAAGGTTGATGCATGTAGTTGGCGTGGATTTGGCATTCATGGCAGCGCTTTGCGTAAGCGACCGCGTCGCTAACCATCCCAGGCCAAAAGTAGCCTATCCTCCGCAATCGATCCCAAAGTTTGGGTCCAGGCTGATGAGCCCCGCAAGTGCCGTCATGGGCTTCACGTAGGGCCTCCTGCGCCTCTGCCTTTGAAGGACATCAAAGCAACAAGCCGTCGTATGACCTCCGATATAACGTATTGGTGGTCAAATCATAGTAGAACCTCGAGGCACGCCGTCGGATAGACTCTCGTTCCCTTGCGTCTTCGGGCAACATGCCGTATAGAACGTAATCGATGATT